TTAGTACTGGGAGAGACAAAGGCGGCACGGCCTTGCCGTCTTCTTCACGGCCTTCGCTTACTCCAGCCGGTGAGCGGGTGGTGGTGAGGGTGGTGGTGGTGGTGGTGTAGTAGCAGTGGTGTAGTAGTGGTGAGGGTGGTGTAGTAGTGGTGGTGGTGTAGTAGTGGTGGTGGTGGTGTTGGTGGCAGCAGTAGTGGTGGTGGTGTAGTAGTGGTGGTGGTGGTGGTGGTGAGGGTGGTGGTGGTGGTGTAGTAGTGGTGGTGGTGGTGTAGTAGTGGTGGTGTAGTGAACATTGTTAGTAGTGGGAGAGACAAAGGCGGCACGGCCTTGCCGTCTTCTTCACGGCCTTCGCTTACTCCAGCCGGTGAGGTGGTGGTGGTGGTGGTGTTGGTGAGGGTGGTGGTGGTGTAGTAGCGGTGGTGGTGTAGTAGTGGTGGTGTAGTGGTGGTGGGGGTGGTGGTGGTGTAGTAGTGGTGGTGTAGTGGTGGTGGGGGTGGTGGTGGTGGTGGTGGTCTAGTGGTGGTGGTGATGTAGTGAACATTGTTAGTACTGGGAGAGACATAGACGGCACGGCCTTGCCGTCTTCTTCACGGCCTTCGCTTACTCCAGCCGGTGAGCGGGTGGTGGTGGTGGTGGTGAGGGTAGTGGTGGTGGTGAGGGTAGTGGTGGTGGTGAGGGTGGTGGTGGTGAGGGTGGTGGTGGTGTAGTAGTAGTGGTGGTGGTGTAGTAGTGGTGGTGTAGTAGTGGTGAGGGTGTGGTGGTGGTGGCGGTGTAGTGGTGGTGGTGGTGAGGGTGGTGGTGGTGTAGTAGTGGTGGTGTAGTAGTGGTGGTGGTGTAGTAGTGGTGGTGTAGTAGTGGTGGTGGTGGTGTAGTAGTGGTGGTGGTGGTGTAGTAGTGGTGGTGGTGGTGTAGTAGTGGTGGTGTAGTGGTGGTGGTGATGTAGTGAACATTGTTAGTACTGGGAGAGACAAAGGCGGCACGGCGTTGCCGTCTTCTTCACGGCCTTCGCTTACTCCAGCCGGTGAGGTGGTGGGAGTGGCGGTGGTGGTGAGGGTGGTGGTGGTGGTGGTGTAGTGAACATTGTTAGTACTGGGAGAGACAAAGGCGGCACGGCGTTGCCGTCTTCTTCACGGCCTTCGCTTACTCCAGCCGGTGAGGTGGTGGTGGTGGTGTAGTAGTGGTGGTGTAGTAGTGGTGGTGGTGGTGGTGGTGAGGGTGGTGGTGGTGTAGTAGTGGTGGTGGTGTAGCAGTGGTGTAGTAGTGGTGGTGGTGGGGGTGGTGGTGGTGGTGTAGTAGTGGTGGTGGTGGTGGTGTAGTGGTGGTGTAGTAGTGGTGGTGGTGTAGTGGTGGTGGTGTTGTAGTGAACATTGTTAGTACTGGGAGAGACAAAGGCGGCACGGCCTTGCCGTCTTCTTCACGGCCTTCGCTTACTCCAGCCGGTGAGCGGGTGGTGGTGGTGGTGTAGCGGTGGTAGTGTTGGCCACCCACCCCCTCTCTGTGTGTAGCCACAGTGCCGGTAGCCTTCATAGACGCTGCTGTTGCTGCTACTCGCTACTAACACAGCACTTGCCCCTACAGCCTGTTACAGGCTACACGGGGGATCTTTGTTTGTGAGTGTGTGTATCCGTGTGCGTGTCTGTGTGTGTAAGTGGGGAGTGGTAGTGTATAGTGTAGTGTAGTAGTGTATAGTGTACACTACTTTCCCTTCTACGTGGTGGTGACTTTACCGAAAAAACCAAGAATAATAATTTTATTGTTTTACAATAATTGTATTGTTTTATATTTTTATTATTTTATTGTTTCCCTTCTACGTGGTGGTGACTTTAGCGAAAGAACCAAGAATAATAATTTTATTGTTTTACAATAATTGTATTGTTTTATATTTTTATTATTTTATTGTTTCCCTTCAACGTGGTGACTTTAGCGAAAGAGCTAAGAATGAGACTTCATTCGTTATTATTTTATTAGTTTTTAGTTGTTGTTTAGATTTTAAATTCTAATTATTGTTTCCCTTCAACGTGGTGACTTTACCGAAAGAGCTGTGAACGAGACTTCATTCGTTATTATTTTATTAGTTTTTAGTTGTTTAGTTTTTTTAAAATTCTAATTATTGTTTCCCTTCAACGTGGTGACTTTACCGAAAGAGCTGAGAACGAGACTTCATTCGTTATTATTTTATTAGTTTTTAGTCGTTTAGTTTAGTTTTTATAAAATTCTAATTATTGTTTCCCTTCAACGTGGTGACTTTAGCGAAAGAGCTAAGAACGAGACTTCATTCGTTATTATTTTATTAGTTTTTAGTTGTTTAGTTTAGTTTTTTTAAAATTCTAATTATTGTTTCCCTTCAACGTGGTGACTTTAGCGAAAGAGCTGAGAACGAGACTTCATTCGTTATTATTTTATTAGTTTTTAGTTGTTTAGTTTAGTTTGTTTAAAATTCTAATAATTGTTTCCCTTCAACGTGGTGACTTTAGCGAAAGAACTAAGAATGAAAGAAAGTCACCACGTTGAAGGGAAACAATTAAATAATAAAATATCGATTTCTTGATAATAAAATTAAATAATAAAATATCCATTTTTCTAATAATTGTTTCCCTTCAACGTGGTGACTTTACCGAAAGAGCTGAGAACGAGACTTCATTCATTATTATTTTATTAGTTTTTAGTTGTTTAGTCTAGTTTTTTTTAAAATTCTAATAATTGTTTCCCTTCAACGTGGTGACTTTAGCGAAAGAGCTGTGAACGAGACTTCATTCGTTATTATTTTATTAGTTTTTAGTTGTTTAGTTTAGTTTTTTTTAAAATTCTAATTATTGTTTCCCTTCAACGTGGTGACTTTAGCGAAAGAGCTGAGAACGAGACTTCATTCGTTATTATTTTATTAGTTTTTAGTGATTTAGTTTAGTTTTTTAAAATTCTAATAATTGTTTCCCTTCTACGTGGTGGTGACTTTACCGAAAGAGCTGAGAACGAGACTTCATTCGTTATTATTTTATTAGTTTTTAGTTGTTTAGTTTGGTGTTTTTTTTAATTCTAATTATTGTTTCCCTTCAACGTGGTGACTTTAGCGAAAGAACTAAGAATGAAAGAAAGTCACCACGTTGAAGGGAAACAATTAAATAATAAAATATTGATTTCTTGAAAATATAATTAAATAATAAAATATCCATTTTGAAATAATAAAATATCTATTTTTCTAATAATTGTTTCCCTTCAACGTGGTGACTTTAGCGAAAGAGCTGAGAACGAGACTTCATTCGTTATTATTTTATTAGTTTTTAGTTGTTTAGTTTAGTTTTTTTAAAATTCTAATAATTGTTTCCCTTCAACGTGGTGACTTTAGCGAAAGAGCTGAGAACGAGACTTCATTCGTTATTATTTTATTAGTTTTTAGTAGTCTAGTTTTTTTAAAATTCTAATAATTGTTTCCCTTCAACGTGGTGACTTTGCCGAAAGAGCTGAGAACGAGACTTCATTCGTTATTATTTTATTAGTTTTTAGTTATTTAGTTTAGTTTTTTTTTAAATTCTAATTATTGTTTCCCTTCAACGTGGTGACTTTGCCGAAAGAGCTAAGAATGAAAGAAAGTCACCACGTTGAAGGGAAACAATTAAATAGTAATATATAATAAAAGGTATATTTTATTATTTAATTGCTTCCCTTCAACGTGGTGACTTTAGCGAAAGAGCTGAGAACGAGAGTTAATTCGTTATTATTTTATTAGTTTTTAGTTGTTTAGTTTTTTTAAAATTCTAATTATTGTTTCCCTTCAACGTGGTGACTTTACCGAAAGAGCTAAGAATGAAAGAAAGTCACCACGTTGAAGGGAAACAATTAAATAGTAATATATAATTAAAGGTTTATTTTATTATTTTATTGTTTCCCTTCAACGTGGTGACTTTACCGAAAGAGCTGAGAACGAGACTTCATTCGTTATTATTTTATTAGTTTTTAGTTGTTTAGTTTAGTTTATTTAAAATTCTAATAATTGTTTCCCTTCTACGTGGTGACTTTACCGAAAGAGTTGAGAACGAGACTTCATTCGTTATTATTTTGTTAGTTTTTAGTTGTTTAGTTTAGTTTTTTCAAAATTCTAATTATTGTTTCCCTTCAACGTGGTGACTTTAGCGAAAGAACTAAGAACGAGACTTCATTCGTTATTATTTTATTAGTTTTTAGTTGTTTAGTTTAGTGTTTTTTAAAATTCTAATTATTGTTTCCCTTCAACGTGGTGACTTTACCGAAAGAGCTAAGAATGAAAGAAAGTCACCACGTTGAAGGGAAACAATAAAATAATAAAATATACATTTTATAATGCGATTAAATAATAAAATATAAATTTTGAAATAATAAAATATCTATTTTTCTAATAATTGTTTCCCTTCAACGTGGTGACTTTACTGAAAGAGCTAAGAATGAAAGAAAGTCACCACGTTGAAGGGAAACAATTAAATAGTAATATATAATAAAAGGTATATTTTATTATTTAATTGTTTCCCTTCAACGTGGTGACTTTAGCGAAAGAGCTGAGAACGAGACTTCATTCATTATTATTTTATTAGTTTTTAGTTGTTTAGTTTAGTTTTTTTTAAATTCTAATAATTGTTTCCCTTCAACGTGGTGACTTTACCGAAAGAGCTAAGAATGAAAGAAAGTCACCACGTTGAAGGGAAACAATAAAATAATAAAATATATATTTATATAATGCGTTTAAATAATAAAATATACATTTTGAAATAATAAAATATCTATTTTTCTAATAATTGTTTCCCTTCAACGTGGTGACTTTACCGAAAGCTGAGAACGAGACTTCATTCGTTATTATTTTATTAGTTTTTAGTTGTTTAGTTTAGTTTTTTTAAAATTCTAATAATTGTTTCCCTTCAACGTGGTGACTTTAGCGAAAGAGCTGAGAACGAGCGAGACTTAATTCGTTATTATTTTCTCGGATTTGACGACTTCCTCCGCCCACCCCGCCCGTCCCCTTGCGCGTGTGTCAGGGAGAATCAGGAGTGCGTGGAGGAGGCTTTCCTGCCCACCATGATGGCGCTGTGGGAGGCGCCAGAGTCTTCGCCGCTGTGCGGGGTGAACGATGCCAACGTCGCCGACCTGCTGGTGAACCTCACGCGGCCCAGCATGCTGAGAGACTCGCGGCAACACTCGGGGGTGAGAGTTGGGGGCGGGGGAGAGAGAGAGACGCGCGGGGAGAGAGACACGGAGGGGAAAGACACGCGGGGAGAGAGAGAGACACACGGGGAGAGAGACGCGCGGGGAGAGAGACACGGAGGGGAGAGATACACGGGGAGAGAGAGATACACAGGGAGAGAGAGAGACACGTGGGGAGAGAGAGACACGGAGAGAGACACGGGGAGAGAGAGACACGGGGAGAGAGAGACACGGGGAGGGAGAGACACGGGGAGAGAGACACGGAGGGAGAGACACGGAGGGGAGAGACGGGAGAGAGAGAGACACGCGGGGAGAGAGACACGGGGAGAGACATGGGAAGAGAGAGACGCGGGGAGACACGGAGGGGAGAGACACGGAAGGGAGAGAGACACGCGGGGAGAGAGACACGGAGGGGAGAGACACGCGGGGAGAGAGACACGGAGGGGAGAGACACGGAGGGGAGAGACACGGAGGGGAGAGACACGGAGAGAGACACGGGGAGAGAGAGACACGGAGAGAGACACGGGGAGAGAGACGCGGGGGGAGGGAGAGACACGGAGGGAGACACACGGGGAGAGAGACACGCGCGGGGAGAGAGAGACACGGGGAGAGAGAGAGACACGGGGAGAGAGAGAGACACGGGGAGAGAGACACGCGCGGGGAGAGAGAGACACGCGCGGGGAGAGAGAGACACGGGGAGAGAGAGAGACACGGGGAGAGAGAGACACACAGGGAAAGCGAGACACGGAGAGAGACACGGGGAGAGAGACACGGGGAGAGAGACACACGGAGAGAGACACACGGAGAGAGACACACGGAGAGAGACACACGGAGAGAGACACACGGAGAGAGACACACGGAGAGAGACACACGGAGAGAGACACAGGCGGAGACACGGAGAGAGACACACGGGGAGAGGCACACGGAGAGAGACACACGGAGAGAGACACACGGAGAGACACAGGCGGAGAGACACAGGCGGAGACA